AAAAAATGAAGATAATTCATAAGTGATTATTTGCTTGCTTGCTTGCTTGCTTTAGGACACTGTGAGATAAGAAGGATACTTGAGTATCCCATACTTGGACTGGAAGACACAGTTTCTTGAGGAACTATGGTTCGATTAACACTGGAGCTCATTGGTAAAAGCTTCAGTCAAAAGAATCGCAAAGATGAGTCTTTGGCTCAACACTTGAGGAAAACAACCCATCTCAAGTTATCTAATAAGAATATAGATATAATTGTAAGTATCCTCTTATATAAGAATATGAGTTGTTTTTTATTATTTGAGTGGCCAGTGTTTTTTGTTGCATATTTCTATTAATAGTTTTCAAAAGAGGGAGGGAGAAGAGGGAAAGTTTTACAACAATGTATTCGCGAAGGCTTTCACAACTGGGATCTAACGGTTGTTGTGCGTTTTTTGGATTCTTCGGCCGTGTTCTGAAGGTTGTTCTTCCTGACGTTTCGCCAGCCTCTGTAGCTGGCATCTTCAGAGGACAGGGGTCAGAACTCTGTCTGTGCTCTGTCTTTATAACAATTATTGTGAAATATATTTATCAGTTATTGACCTGCAAAATGGCAATGTTTAGTACCATAAGTGTACCATTTAATTGCAGATCATATACCTGGTCAAGCTACTTATCTGATTTAATTATAAAGTATTTGTGAATAGAAAAACACAATTGAGATCCAAAGAGCTTAAAAGTTTGGTTCAGCAGGATGTTTGCATTTTGCCCTTTGAACAGCAAACCTAAAATAAAGTGCTCAGGAAGATGTCTTCATTTTCAGAAGTAGCGTGCTGTATGGTGATTTAACCACTACGTAAGTAGAACCAGCTAAACTGTTCTTTGAATCTCAACCTGGATCAATAAAATAACATAACATTTATTCATACATTTACAAGTGTATTTGCTAAGGATAGTAGGGTTACCATGGCTTACATAGACGTCATAGTCTATGTAAGTCCCTGCAGTAGAAAAAAAACTTGTATCTAGAAAAATTAAGATGCTGAAGAAGTAATTTATGAGTGAATTTTACATAGTAACACATTTTCAATCTTTCTCTTAGGATGACCTCTCTTTGTGTAAAAATCTTAATGTTCTTTACTTGTATGATAACCAAATTAGGCAAATACATAACTTGGACTTTGCTTCAAACTTAAGACACCTGTACCTTCAGAACAATTGCATTACACGGATTGAAAACCTAGCATCATTAATAAAACTTGAAAAATTGTAAGTAAAAAAATCATTTTTTTCCTCAGTGTGCATTATGTTTAAATTGGTACAAAAAACACAGTAGGAAAGTACACAAAGTATGCTAGTCAGGACCAAATAGGATAATTTATTGTACAAACTGTAGAATAGTTCATTTTATGTATTTTATATTATAATTTTGCCTGGAATTTATGCCTGAAATTAGTAAATGGTAATATCTGAAACACATTTCTCTAACAGCTTATAGAGTCCGTACAGTAAACACTAAATATCATATAGGCTATGTTCTATCCTGCTAAGTTCCTGCTTTAAAATATCCTCATTTGGGGCTAAAACCTATGTAACCACCAACAGGTGCCACTGTCTTACAGTGTACAACTCTTGTTGAACACGTTTTTATGGTACTGAAAAGGGTCTGCAGAAGATATAGTGATTGCCTTGCATGAGTTGTAGTCTACCTCCACCAGTAGAAGTGTTGGGCAGGTCCCCTAATTCTAAATAAATTTTCTTGGTAGGAAGCCCTGTTAGATTTGTTTTGAGGAGAGAGTTGTTTTAATCCATTGGGTTGGGCGCACATTTAGTGAACCTGGACATCTGAGCTTCCAGAAGCATATTACTCCAACCTCTCCTTTTCAAAGCAGAGACAGAATACTTGAAAGGAGCTGACCCCTCCAGCTCCGTTCAGATATTACAATAGGTGTTGAAGGATTCTGCCAAAAAAGGGTAAGCTGTGGTACAAGGAAGAAGGAGAGGATCTTCCGTATTCGGCAAAGAGTCCTTCTGAGAGTAAAACTGTTCCTCTGACACTGGCAGATTCTGGCGTTGATCTATTACTTTTGTTATTCAGTCAAAGAAGAAAATGGAGAAGCCACTGAAGACAAAACAATACACAGAAAAAACCCTCTAATCTTGCAAACACGGGCATTCTAACATTACTCTTTTGCTACTGGTTTGCTATTCAATAATAATAAAATACGCTTTTTACTTTTAGAAATTGTGAATCTGTATTTTTCAATCAAACTGTAAAACTGACATATTTTTTCATATTATCCTCTTCCCAGGTATCTAGGTGGCAATTACATCACTGTAGTGGAAGGTTTAGAAACCTTAGAAGAACTGAGAGAATTACACGTTGAAAGCCAGCAGCTTCCCTTAGGGGAAAAGCTCTTGTTTGATCCAAGAAGTCTTCATTCACTGGCAGTAAGAACGCTAAATTAGGATGATATCTTGTGATGTGACATTGATGATTGTGAAAAATTCACAACAAGAATGATTGTGGATGCTTTCTATTTTTTTACTTCCATTTTCCAATAGAGTTTTGCTGTCATATGACATGAGCTAGATAGGGTTGATATTTAATTTGCCTCATTAAAATTATATTTAACGTTTATGATGACCAATAGCGATACATACATTCAAAAACTTTCTATTCAGTTTTGCAGTTCTAGTAAACATTTGTGTTGCATTAACTTCCTATCATCTAAAGCATTTACACAGCAAATATGCTTAGTTTAGAAGTCAAAACCTATTATATTTTCTGTATTCAGAAAAAAATAGTAGGATAATAAGACATGTATAATGTTAAAAACAGACTGTTTAAATGTTTTTAGCATTTAGCTGAACGACTACTGCTTCACAGACTTGGCATTATTAGCACATGTATTAGTCTAGAAATTCACCAAAATCCAACATTAATAATTAGAGATGGGGGGTATTCATATTTGTAGATGAATACGAATATCCCTGCACAGGTGGCATTAACAAGGGTCCAGCCCCATGGGGCCAGACAGTCCACTCACCGATCCGCCATGGATGTGGATGGCACGATTCTACCAATGGCTCCGCGGCACAGTCCACTCGCCACTCCTGGCAGGAGGTGGAAGAACAAGTCTCGTTGCAAGGTCGAAGGCTGTCTAGCGGATCGCACACTGCAGAGCCATTAATAATAGTCCAAACTAAGGGCCTGTCCAGAGAGGTATACAGCTCACTATTTGGAACGTGTTTAGTGTGGTTCATACCAAATTATGGCATCCACATGTATTCCCACTTAATCCATTCTGCCTCTTTAAGACTTTTCCCACTCCGTTCTGGCAAATCTCAAGAGCTTCTGGCTTTTGTGGGAGACAAAGCAGTACATGTGTAACCTGTATGGCTGGTTACTTTGCACCCAAATGGAGATGTGGGTGTTTTTATATGAGGTGACAACCGTGTGACACATTCGGTGGGTTGTGACCTCAGAAGGGAGGATGGAGAAACCCTCTCTTCTTTTTAAATTTTCTTTTCCTAACTAACACAACACAATTATAATACCATTCAAGGTTGATGCATTACTATTTTAATAAGCCATTTGTTTTATTTAACAACAACAAAACAAACAAAAAGAAAAAAAGGAAAGGAAAGGAAAAAACAAAGTCACTGCAGCGTGCTGAATGATGGCCTTGAGAAAAGGCAGGGAAAAGGCTATGCCACCTCCCTGGGCACCACCCCCACAAGGCAGCAGAGCCCCAGATGAAGTGAAAGATGGGGAAAAGTCACAGCTGCAGATAAGCCCCTTCCATCTCCCCAAACTTCACCCCCAAGTTTTCCCCTCGTAGTGGTACCGCTGTGACCTTGCCACATCACTGCTGCCTCCTTACTTGTGAGTAAACTGGGTAAACCGTAAGCCAGGTAAAACTTACGCAGGAGTAAACTGGCAATCCAAAGACCTATGTGGATCCTTCTCATGGGAGAATAAGTTTATATTTATTTATTTATTAGATTTCTATCCTGCCCATCTAGTCGTTTCGACTACTCTGAGTGGCATACATCAAACACAACAAAGACAATTAAAATAGTATCAACATCCAAAAATAAAATAAATAATCGTTCAAGATGGGAAACAAAAATAAATCAAATAATAGCCGGAGGGAAGGCCTGCCTAAACAGCCATGTTTTTAATTGGCTTTTAAAGACATGTGAACAGAAAGATCATTCAAATGAGAGATATAATAGATCTCACTAAAGATAAGAATCTTTTAAGCACAAACTACAATCACTTCAAATTCCCATGTCTGGACAGACCCTTACTTGCACCTGCATTATCAGTAGCACTTCTGTATTTTCTCTGTCTTTGCTCAAGACTATAACGGGCAAACTGGCAGCTTTGCTACAGGTGCCTCTAATTGTGGAGGTGCTTCCAATTGTGGGGGAGCTGCCTGTTTGTGTATTTTGACTCTCAAGTCCCAATTTTTCTGCTCATGAAAAATTAAAATAACAAAACCAGACCACAAACAGTATCTGATTATAGTTGCCTATCTATGTATGTTATGCACTGTCTAGTTATTTCTGCCATGGTTTTTGAGGCATATGGGATATTTGAGTGCTTATGTTATGCACTGTCTAGTTATTTCTGCCTTATGGTTTTTGAAGCATATGGGATATTTGAGTGCCATATTTTTCTGATTATAAGACGACCCAATGTATAAGACAACTCCCCCTTTTCTAACCCCCAAATTAGAAAATTTGAAAATTGGCACAATCGCACCCCTTTGGTCCTGAAGCAGCCATGAAAGGGCTTCAGGATCAAAGGGGCACAAGTGTGCTGCCCTGGCTGCGTTACGTTACCCATTTCCTAAGCCCCATGGGTTTACCCTGTGGCTTCACAAAAGGCAGGGAAAGATGCTGCCTTCCGTGTATAAAATGACCCTCAATTTTTTGTCTAATTATTTAAGTTAAAAGTGTCATTTTATACACGGAAAAATACGGTAGTTTTAATCAGCGACTTTTCATGATCAAGCAGGAATTTGAACCCGGTCCCAAGTCCTAGTCCAACATTCTCTCCTGGCTCTCTGTAGTTGCCTTTCGTAAGTAAGAACTGTCCCTGCAGGCTACATTTGGACACTGAAAACGTAGTTATTCTTTTTCCTTTAAATTCACCAGTGTGGCACAACCATCATTTTAAAGAAATGATTTAAGAGTTTTCTAATTTCTCAGTTGTTAATCCATATGTGGAAACAAAACTTTGGGTCAGGAAGTACTTTAATTGGACCACCAAAAAAATTGTAAACTGTGTAAACTTTCACGTCTTTCAAAAGTTTTCATCAGGCACAGATGGTATAAAATTTGGGGAAGCAGGCAAAGCAAAGTGTGCTGCTTATATACCGCCCCATAGCACTTCAAGCACTCTCTGGGCGGTTTACAAGTTAATTATGCAGGCTACACATTGCCCCCCCAGCAAGCTGGGTACTCATTTTACCGACCTCGGAAGGATAGAAGGCTGAGTCAACCTTGAGCCGGCTACCTGGGATTGAACCTTAGGTTGTGAGCACAGTTTTGGCTGCAGTACATTGGTTTAACCACTGCGCCACGAGGCACATCATTCAAAAGATTTGGCTAGACAGAATAGCTCTAATATTTGAAATTAGATTGCTGGCAAAAGAAAATTAAGACTACAGGTGCAATGGAAAACAAGGTACCACTTTACAGTCCTTCTTGCAGACAAAAATGTATCCAAACTATCTGTGGATCTTGGTGAGGCAATTGCCACTGTCTTTTGGCTTAGAGCAGTAGTACCAAAAGTCTTCACAACTAGCTGTGCTGGCCAAGAATTCTCGATGTTGTAGTCCATGAACATCTGAGGACCCAAAGTTAGGAACCACTAACTTACAGCAAAGAACAAGACTTTATGTCAACTAAGGAAGTGGTTGAGTTTCATCATTCAACTAGATTGCCTGAAAGCCAAAGCTTTTGTCTACAGAGAAATACAGGAAGTAGATGCCTTGACACCTTGACTGTAAATATCTTACTTATCAAGTAAAGGTATCACCCAGCTCAGATTTTTGCTTCTCCACAGGGACCACACAGCTACGTATTTTGATTTTTTCCTATACAGTATGTGCAAGATTACTTCAAAAATACTATGCAACAACTTTGGCCACTTTAATGTTCAGTCTTTAACTGGGGAAGAGCAAGAATGCAATTTCCTCCCCCCACCCCTTTAGCAAATACATATGTGGAACATAATAGCAATTATTTTTATTGTAACAAGTATTCCAATTGATTGTAGGCCACTGGAAGACAAAAAGGAAAAAGGAATAAATAATTCGGCAAAATCCTGTCAACATAGTTTTGTTGGTGTAAACTGGATCTGGGTGTCTGCAGTACTCATTTTAAATGAATCAAAACCTTCCTATCTCTCGCACCTCTCCCTAGAGATCCCTTTTGCCCTGTGAAAGGCTTTGGGAGTCTCAGGATGGAAGGAGCCTTTAATAGTTTTTTTAAAAAAATGCTGCTGAATCAGCAAATGAGAGCCCATGGGAACATCAGAATCTGAAAGGGCAGGACAGGAAGCCTTCAATTAGTTTAAATCATTATTTCCAGAGCCTGGATCTGGTTTGTACTGGCAGAACTTTACAGATAGGATTTTGCCCAGTGTATGCTACTTCACTCAAGACAATCAACCTGTCTGCATTTCCATTTGAAAATTAGTTAACATCTTTTCTATTTTTGTCCCACATTTTCAAAATAAATTGTGGTATACTTTTATATTATTGTTTTTTCCCCCAGAATTTCTTTGTATCTCTCTTTTTTCGTACTCAATTACTACTATTCTTTAATTAAGAAAGAGAAATGCAACTATTGGAGACTGATAAAATGGGGTGTTGATTGTCCATTGTAATGCTATGCACATTTTCTCAAAAATATATCCAAGTTCAGTCACACTTGTTCTGAAGTAACTGCACAAAATGGTGCAGCAACTGACCTTTTATTTTCTTCTGGGTAACCGCTTGTGGGTTTTTTTTCCTGCAGAGGTCTTTATCAGTTTTGAATATCAGCAATAATAATATTGATGAACTGAGTGATTTAGCGATTCTGGAAAACATCTCCCACCTCATCGCTGTTGACAATCAACTTCACCATATAAAGGTAATTGTAAAAATGTGGGAATGGTAGATTTTCTTAAAGAAAATTAAGATGACTGACAGTTTCTCTGTATTTTAATTCACTGTTTGGATGGGTAATTCAAAGTTAATGTGTGTATGAACATACCTCAACTTTTCTGTGTCCTAAGTGATTCCATTTCCCATATCATTTATGGTGTTTTCACCTCAGATTAAAATCTTTCTGAGGGAAATTTATCAATTAATGGAGAATGATACTTGGTGGAACACTTACTCTGAACTAGCTCTACCCGTGTCACCCGCGCTAGCCAGGAGGTGAGGCTGAGGAGCCTGATGCCGAGGAGGCCCAGAAGGAAAGAACTAGAAACCGGGCCTTCTCGGTGGTGGCTCCTCGCCTCTGGAATAACCTACCTCCGGAGATTCGCGCTGCACCCTCGCTGGGTATTTTTAAGAACCAACTAAAAACGTGGATGTATAGGCAGGCCTTCCCTTCCAGTTAACTCCTGTCCTCTTTCCTTTTTTTTCTCTTTATTTGATTTATTTTGTATTTTTCCCATTGCAAAATCATTTAATTAATTAATTGTTATAAATTTTTCTTGAACTTGTTATGTTTTATGTTGTAAGCCGCCTAGAGTGGTCGAAATGACTAGATAGGCGGGGTATAAATACAATTAATAATAATAATAATAATAATGAGGCTGTTAATGCCAATTAACCCCAATATCTGTATACTTTTATTTACCTGGTACATTTATATTTACCTACTGATAATATTGCATGGTTAAGCACAAAACAGTAATATACAATTAAACATACTTTCATAAGTTAACAGTCTGGTACATGAGATTTCCAGTAGATAAAATGTGAAAGTCAATGTAACTATGTATGTGTACATGTATGTGAAATCAAGACTATACAACACATACAGTGGTTCAGACTATTAAAGACACTTAAAAAAAAAAGATGTATATTTAGTCCGATCTGAGTTCATTCACCCACCTTTTGTTATCTTTATCAGAGTAACGTGAACCAAGAGTACAATAGAACCATCACCTGGAGGAGCCCCTGCAGGGGCCGAGTCTTTCACCTGCCACTTGTCTTCCCAATTAGAAGGATGTTCAATGGGCATCTGTCTTTCTTTGTGCCCTTTTGTCTTTATGTAGAATGGCACACTGGGTAGGCTTGCATTGTATTAGGGACCATGTCTACAGGGGAAGGCTCTGCCTTGTGTTATCAGGCTTTCTGGATTAGTCCCAGGAGACAATGTCAATTCCTGACCTCTGGGACCAATCCTTTATTCCCACTCTTGGCCTATAGGTTCAAGTCTTCTTATCAGCAGCACTACAAAATGTTTATTTTAGAACTGTGTGAGCTGATTCAATGTTCCGAGGATACAGTTGGAAATCTTTAATTTATTCAACCTTTCACCATTATTGATTATGACAACAACACATCAAAAAGATGAATTCTTTCACTTCAAAATTCAGTCAGGAACAAGAGAAAAAATATAGATTTTCTGAAAGAGATAACGGCAGACCGTCAAAATTATGACAAATGGATGTCTACGGGTGTAGTTAGGGCACTTGAGCTAGACACAGCCGATAAAAATTGGAGAATACTCGTCAAAGGCAGGTTCTTAAATGACTGTCATTAATTGGGAAGAAGGCTACAGCCAGGACTGGGGATGTCATCGGAGGCTTTTGCTACCGTCACCACCACCCTGTGTGTCTAGAATATAATTTGCTCTTTAGTATTTTCTAGCAGACCTCGAAGTGATACCATGACACGATCATTTATCAAACAGAGACTGACCAAAAAAGTGTCTAGCCCCTTTGGTATAGGTTATTGAAAGGCTGTAAAGTGAAAGCACTTTATTAGGGACAGGAAAGCAATGAACAACTAGAGCATATCCAAAGGGTAATCATATTTCAACATGGGATTAGTACATTCCTAGATAAACATACACTAGTGGGAGCATGTTCTGGATCATTTATCAACTGAGTAGCAGTCAACAAAAATCTACAAAATTCTGTGTGTACATTCATCAAAGTATAACTATATACTGTTCAAGGTTCCAAGAAATATAAGCTGTTTTGCATTTCAAAATCTGCTGTAGTTAGATTAATGTTTGTACTGTTCCCCTTTGTATTATAATGTTGATTAAAGCTGCTGCTACACACACATACACACACACACACACACAAAAGAGAGAAAGAAATTTAAAACAAGTCTATAGCCCAAGGATTATATAGAGGTAGAGAGGCAGGATTAACAAGGGTTGAATGTGACAAAATGCCGTTTCACATACTTTTGGTTTTCAAAATGAATGACAAACTGGCTAATATATGCAATTCAAATCTTAAAGTTTAAAGTTAGAAAATATATTGACAGATTTTTTAATACATGAGAATTACAGTATTGCCACTTTTATCTACTGGGCATATATTACTTAACAGTAGTATGGAATACTGTACTATTCTATGAGTAAGAACCAGTTAAACTGTTATTTGGGGTTAATGTTACAGAAACAGAACATACCTCATGAAAGGTGCCCCAACTAATTTTCTGTAGTTCCTGCTCAACGTTCCACGCCACAGCCCACCCTGTTCAGGAAAGTTTCCCAGCCCTTAAGAGAGGAGTGTGGGTGGGCAGAAAAGTCACCTTCTGCTAATCACCTGCCGCTGGCACTTTTCAGGATTCACGCCAATATAAAGATATTGATATGTCACAACATTTTAAGGACATAATTAATGAAATAAAGATTAATGCAAATGAAAATTTAGACGCTTCTCGGTGGCAGTAAGGAAACATCTGGTTATTTCTGTACACTGTTGGTATTAGCCATAGTCAGAGAGAATGGCACCACTCCTTTTCCAAAAGCTGAGAAGCATCTGAAGCTTCAGAAGAATATCCAAGTCTGCCTATACAATTAATATTACTTTTCTCATATAAAAAATGCTGTATGTCATACTGTCTTTCACAATCAAAAATCAACCCATATTAGAGACAGGCAAATGTAAGATAGAGTCCTCTTCCTAGTGTATACCAAGAGAATCACAGATGTGGAGGAAAAATATTTATTATCTTCTCAGCAAATGGGACATAATGGTGAAACTTTGGGGGCCATAGCTAGTCCTTCTTGCTGTGCATATACTTGCACATTCACCTCTGCATATATATGAAAGGATTCTCTACTTCTTGTGCTTTTCCCATGACCAAATAGGTCTGTGCTCTTTGGCATGCATGGTGGAAGGATTATGTATATTGAAAAGGCCATATTAATCATAATAATGTGGTGGTAGTGGTGGTGGTAGTAGTAGTAGTAGTAGTAGTAGTAGTACTAGTAGTAGTAGTAGTAGTAGTAGTAGTACTAGTAGTAGTAGTAGTAGTAGTAGTAGTACTAGTAGTAGTAGTAGTAGTAGTAGTAGTACTAGTAGTAGTAGTAGTAGTAGTAGTAGTAAGCAGTGGAACTGGTCAGATTTTACTTTGCCTTTAAAATAATATTCTGCTTAGTTTTGCTTTGTGTCTGGAACCAGAAAGGTACAAACTTTGATTGATTCAGTTTCTGCATTCTGGGCCATATTTTATATATTACTTTGGTAACAATAGTGGAAATGGAGATGTTGCTCAAAATCACAGGGAGGTTATTTTTAAAAAAATCTTTTAAACCCTTTTTAATAGTGTTTCATAACATTATTGTGTATAATATGCTCACTAGAATTCTCACTTTTTCATCAAATATGTTTTTTAATGTAAGATGTATGAGAGTGCCATCATGTTGCTTAAGTTGGTAAAAGTATCTACGTAAACTATCAGGATAGTTAACATTTTCTATAATAAATAGCATTATGAATTTGATTAGTTATAGTATTGGGGCTTAATAAGCACAAATATTGGTTTACTTTTATCTGATATTCTTAGGACTTGGAGTTTGTTCTGGGTGTATGGACCAAGATATACAAAATAGAATTGAATGGGAACCCTGTTTGTCACAAGCCAAAGTATCGGGACAGGGTTATACTGCAGTCAAAATCTCTTGGTAAGATAACGTATCTTTGGAATGCCCTACTATTGAAAAAAAAAAAATCTCTAACTCATACATTAAATTTCCGTAACATGCATCATATCTCTTACAGATGCGAGCACTGTCACGTAAACAAAAAAGACAAATCTATTTTGCAGAAAAATAAATCTATAATTTAAATTGATTATTAAATACAAAATGAATACATACAAAGAATAAGAGCAGAAACAAAGTTTCATTAGATTACTAACTTTTGTTAGGTACTTACATTCCTCAAGGATATAAGCAAGTCCAGCTAGCTCTAATTTAGCCAGACATACCAATGGGATGGCTCCTCTGCAAATTAAGAGTTCACTGGGAGGAATTAGGCCTTCATGAGAGTAAGGTTCACATTTATGGAACATAAAAGAATAACAATGCAGAGTCCAATCATGCAGGTACCCATTTAGCCTGTAAACCATATGCTAACTTCCATGCATAGTAAGTAGTAAAACAATCTGAGAGGGCGGCTGCAGGACATCAGCAACAGCAATAACTGAAGCTTCATGTGAAACACCTCTGAATGCCCCAGGAGCAGACCAGAAAAGCAACCTTCCATCTTGATCTGAATCAGCCTTCAGTCTCTTGGGCCACTAGTCCTGCCACTAAAATGTATTACAATGAGTCATTTGCCTCACTTCCCTCCACAAGGTAGCACAAAGCAGATCCCAAGTAAGTAGGGGGTCCAACGTTAGGCTAACCATCATCCAGGTAGCTTGAAGGATGAATAGGGAAAAGATGGGATGACACTTCCAGTTTTTAGAAAGCACCTCCAGGCCTAAAACAAGTTGTAGGGGGCAAATCATATCAGAAGTGCCCCTTACACCCTCAGAGAGTGCATAGTGTCCTTTTTTTTTGGTCAAAATTTGGGGACTATCAGAGCCACACTTCACTCTATGCTAAACATGTTTGTTCCATAAACTGAAGCAGTTAGACTTGTCTGCACTGGTCTTGCTTTCTTTGCTACTGGACTATAGGTAGCAAATACAACATACTATTATACTAGAGATGGGGAGAGATTCTAATTGCATATTTCTTTTGTACTTTTTTATACCATTTTTCTTTTGAACAAAGTTTATTTTTCCATTGTACCTATTTGTCCTTGATGAAGTGGTTGTCCCACATTTACATGTCTGTCCTTTCAAAAAGCATGTAATACCAATCTACCTCCATCATGCACCTGCTCTAATGCAGAACTGGATTCTAGCATTATACCGGACAAAGATCAGAGAGACAATTAATAGTAACAGCACTGTTGGCTGGTTCTAGAGACAAAATTTCTCTGTGTCCTTCTTAGGAACTACACTGAGGAAAGGAGAGTGTTACTCAATAGTAAACTCCTATTTTGTTGACTCACATGTTATAACATTTTCTCCTCAGAATCCCTTGATGGAAAAGAGATAAAAGAAATGGAAAGACAATTCTTGATGAACTGGAAAGCATCCAGAGATGCCAGGAAGAAGAACAGGGCAGAAAGCATGACAAATGACCATTCATCATTCTCACATTTTGGTAAATAAGATACGGTTTCATGATCATATGCAGCAGGGGTAGGCAGCCTCCAGAGGTACAGGAGTTGCATCTCTGGTTCTTGAAAGGCAGCTCCAGTAATGTAAAGCACCCTAAAGCATTTTTCTTACAAAAATGTTTTTTTCTCCTGAAAAGCCCCATTGCAAACTTTAGCGATCTAGAGGATAGATGTGCTGGAGGGCCCTCAAAGCAAGACAAAAATGTCCTCATGAAAGCACAATGGGGTTTTTATAACATTTTTTTCCCAAACTTTAAAAAAATGAGAATGTGAGGATGCTGGGAGCCACATTTAGGCCCCTGGCGGTTGCATATGGCCTATAGCCCACATGTGGCTCACACTTGATTTATAGGATCAACATTAAGAGAAGAACATATTTAGTGAAGGGAAACACGAGTGGATAACTGTAGGGCCAATACTGTTTGAAACGTGATTGTTGACCACTTCAAAAGTCTTTTTGTGTAATATTTTAAAAAGTTCTCATAATTTAATAACAATTTACAAGCAGATGAATAAGAACTTGCTATAAATTGAACAGTTCTTCTGCTCCTTGCCGGAGGATCAGGGGATGTAAAAAAACAAAATTAAAAACCAGACTCTGGTATACCATCACTGATGCACTGCATCACTTATTTAAAAATTATAAAATTTTGAATTTCCGATATTATAAAGTGGCTTAATGCTGAGCAACTTCAGGACAGCTTTGGCAGAGGGGTAGCGAAAGTGAACTCTTTTTTTCAGACACTGTTATACCATTGGGATTCCCAGTTGTGGTGTAGTAGATAGACTGGTGGTTTAGAACTCTGGAGAACAGGGTTTGAATCCCTGCTCGGTCATGGAGACTCACTTACCTCGAGAGCCCTGTTAGGGTCAATATAAGTTGGTTTCAACTTGACAGCAGAGAGCACACACATGGTTTGAAAAGTTCTTTTCCACTTCACCTATTTATTACACAGTCTCCGATGTTTCCCCATTTACTTTGGAAGAGTTTTCTGAATAATAAATGTTTTCATATCTTTGCACTCTGCAGAAGATAATGACTGGGAACATACCCATTTTCCTGTTTACTACTTCCCCATGGCCAAAGAAAGACCAAACTTCGCTATTTTATCTGAGGCACACAAATCTTCTTATAGTAAAGAAACCCAGCGAACAAACTATGAAGAGAACAGAGTTATGGAAAGAATGAGGTATGTTCTCTGTCAAGCACCCTTGGGGTCCAATTTCAACTGTGCATCAGTGTATAAAATGTCTAATGTTTTGTACACGTGAGAAGCTGGAAGTGCACTTTTTAGAAAGCTAAGGTTCACTCAAAAGTGAATAAAGCTTTAGCCACTAAAAATATTAAAAGCAAAGCCATATGATAGCATACAGGGCCTAATGCTTTGATTTCTGTTGATACAGGAGCAAGAATTATTTCTGAAGTTGTTCCTTTCTATATTCCATGTTACAGGGCAAAATTGTGATTAAGGTTGTTACAATTTTGTATCATATTAGTTGTTTATCATAATTTAGACCAAATTAGATATGTATATTATTTTGATGGTGTGTTTGCAGGGGGAAATTTCTTAACCTTTTTTTACTCTAAATCAGCTACCACATTGGCTCTTCCACATGAAATTTTAAATTTGTATTTGGAACTTAGTAGGGACAGCAACAAGAAACAGCAGTAGGGGGAAAGGTTAAGCACACATGCACCACACTACTACTCTTGTAATTGCTTTTGGAAGCAATTTTTCTGAATTAGAAAGAGTCAGCTGGGGTATGTTGCATGAAACTTCATGTAATGCATAATTTGCTCCTAGTTCTATGCTTTTTCTTCAACCACAGGTATACTACAGCTGAATGTAGTAAGTAGTACATGTATTGAAGCTAGAATTGTACGTGCTTAAAACAGTGTCATTTAAAAATATTTTTATATATGAAAACTGTAAAAAAAACCTTTAAATGAATATTTTCTTTTATTGACAGAAAATAAAGCAGTTAGAGCACTTAACCTTTCCAATTATAAAATCCTCTCCCACTATTACATCCACATAAAATGTGAGACAAGCTAGATAAATGTTGGAGACATACAAACAATATTCTGTTTGACTTTTTCCTGAAAGGCAATCAGGATAACCCCTGAATTTTATTTATATTGAAACTAAAATATATGAAGTCCATAGGGGAGATAAAAATAACTGAGATTTAGATAACAGGCATATAGATAATTGATCTATACTTGCATGACACGTTTTCCTGATACCTATTAGAGATGGGTGGGCATATATGGCCTGCAGAATGCATACAACCCCAGGACCATTTTAGCTATTTTGCCATGTTTTGAGTGCCCCTTGGTATCACAGACCCTTGCATTCCCGTTTTAAAAAAGAAATTCTTTGTCCACTGGAAGGTGCAAAAGATGTTTTCCCCCTTGAAGTTAAAGTTATTTACTTGTTTATTTGATGTGTATCCTGCCTTCTTCTCAGAAGCTAGGAGAAACCTGCTTTAAGCCGATATTTCTGTTGACAAAAAGCCACATTATTTTTTTTAAAAAGGGAATGCAGCCCTCAGATTGCAGGAAATCTAAAAAGTGACTCCTTGAGGCCACCCATTCTTGACTTAGAGCATATTAAGGCTGCAATCCTATGACCTCTTATTTCAGACTTAACCTTGTGGCACCTGTGTGGGCATGTATTGGGTTGCTATGTAAAATGTTTTATGTTGAAATGCATGGTGGCGTTTTAGAATCCAATTAGAACTGTGGGATCTCTTTCTTTCTAGTATAATGACAGCTTATATGCATTTCTACAAATCCTTCAGCCCTTGTACATTTATTAGGGAGTAAGCCCCACTAAACTTAACGGGTTTTTCATCTGAGTAAATGGGCATAGTTAGGCATGCACACACACACTATAAAAATATGCAGTAGGTCTTATGCTTGTCAAGTAAAAAATAATTGCTATTGAGTTTAGTGTGACTTGTACTCCACTAAGTGGATATAACATCTGAAACTCTGACATATTTTGGAAAACACATATCCTGTTGGATGTGATTCAAATGTGTGTTTATTACCTATATGTAGATTAAGTCATAATATGTAAATTATGTTTGAAATCTTGTTTCATGCAGTCATTCAACCCTGAAGAAGTCTCAGAGTGTACAGAAAGAGTTGTTTGAACCCCATCTCCTTAGGCAAATGCCTCTATAAGCAGATACGGAAAATGCAGATTTGTGTGGAATCAGAACAACAGATGTGTACATCAGTCTACCTACAGTGATGAAGAAGCATTGGATCTGGGGCAAAAGGTTTATATTTAACTGCAAAACACCATTTACTTTTAACAACTAGCACAGTAAACTTTCATAATGTAAACTTAAAGTTCTGTATAATAGAGCACTTATATCTATGTACCTTCATTAAAAAGTATTAAAAAAGGTGTACAGATGGAACTATGTATGAAAATTTTTAGTATTGAGTGCAGTCCTCATCTCACTTAAATTGTTAGGAAAACTTGCAGTTCATCTCCATAGATAGGCCCTGTATACTAAAGGTGAATTCATTTTCTGAGTGCTACTACTCACTTGGGCAGATATGGTCTGTCTCTCCACGATAAGAAAGTATCAGTGTCAAAAGCTTGGAAAAATCTCAAAGTTTGGACAACTACAAAACATCTTTACAGTTAAACAACACTTCAGGGTGCACCAATTATCCAAGAAGAACTAAACCTGCTCAGTGAACACTGAATGGTACCTGTTGGGCAATTAGGAAACCAGGGACAGAAGGGGAGTAGAAGACGTTGCTGGAGCCCTGGGCACAGAACTCTGTACTGTACTAGAATATTTTGCTACAGGTCATATTTGCCAGTACTTTCTCCTTGCAGACTTATCATAATGAAGCTACACCATTAGTTAATTATAGCCTTCTAGGAACAACTTGCCAGAGTCTCACATGATATTCTGTGAAACAAAGGACCAAACTTGGAGCACACATGTCTACAGAGTCTCTTTTGTACTATAATCTCTTTTATTCATTTTATGAATATACATGTTATCTGTTCTGGGCTCTGGTTTAAACCACTTGGAATTTAAACTGATTTATATCACAGTATACCCAGCACAGGTTTCTGAAAATCTGTTCTAATAATTTCAAAGAAATCTATTCCAAGTAAATATGTTTTAGAAGACCATGTCAACTGGCTTAAATTCATTTACTTCAGCTTTACTGGGATTATGTATTTAAAACCAAAATTACAAAAGAAAAGACATTTTGAAAGAATTATACTCCATTCAAATATTTTGTCTGGAGTAATCCTGTACAAATAAGTGGGACTACATGAGGTGGAAACAGCATGAGAATTATAACTTAAATGTCTTTAGAATTGCAGGGTTTTTTAAAAACAGTATCCTACACCTTGCTGTTCTTTAAACCAACCTCTTTCCCACACTCCACTTCCTAATTGCAGATTATATTGAAGTTTAAGCTTTTAATTTTCTTGGCTACATAAAGAGCAGCAAATAAATTAGACTTTATTTTCTGTCTTACTGGGTCAAAGATTTGATTTATTGTGTCTATGTTATCACACAATCAAAGTTTCATTCCCAGTGTTTGGTTGGGATAATTCTACACCCTGCCTATTTATTTTGAATGTCTCTTCTCGTTAATGTTACTGAAGTGTAATTACCAGCCATCTAAAAATATTAACTTTTCTTATTAGTCATGTGTTCTCATAGATGTGCATGGCTGTGTATATCTTTAATATGTGTGTGTTTCTGTGTGTGTGTACACATATAACAGTGCAACCCTATAGATATTTACTCAGATGTAAGTATCACTGGATATAATTGATCTTAATCCCAGGTAAATTTGAATATGTTTTGGAGTGGGAATAAGATTGCCTCAACTTGTTTCTGTTCCAAATTTTTCCAGATCTATATTTCTAGTAAGATTTCCAGACATGATCTTAGAGAGGAAATACTGGGTTGGATTTTGTTTTGCTTATTGTTTTAATTTTCCCAGAAGAATACTAAAATGCTAATATTATTGTGGAAATGTTTAGCTTTTTTTTGTCTCTTTTTAAAAAGTATATCACAATGAAATGATATAATAGAAATTATTATGGAGGACTCGAGTAATGAGTTGTTTTTTACACTTCATCAAGAGTTTATTGGTTGGAGTCTTTTTCATACTTTTTATTTATTTAAACAGAAATGTTGTAAATCTGACATGGAGAGAGGTAACTTTAAAAACAAAGATATTTTAGAATTATCTGCTATTAGGAAAATAGTGCATGCACAAAAATCTGCCACCTATGTTAGAAAGTTTGTATTTATCAACAGATTGGGGAGAATCAACTAAATATCAGAATTGGGAACAATTACTCATCCATAAATATGTACTTTGCAAATATTTATTTATTTATCTATCTATCTATCTATCTATCTATCTATCTATCTATCTATCTATCTATCTATCTATCTATCTATCTATCTATCTATTTATTTATTTATTTATTTCACTTATATGCCTCTCACTCTACCCAAAGGTCTCTGGGCGGCTTCAAATATCCACTGCGTACTATAATACAAGGGTCCCCAACCCCTGGTCCAAAACCCTGTGCTGGTCCATGGCCTTGGCTGGACCAGGCCACAGAGACAGATCTTTCGCCCCCACTGCATGCCTTCCCCACACACAATCTCTTTGCACATGTGCAAGAGTGTGTCTGCACATGCCGTGCGAGTGCTCCCGCCCCTTTGCACATGCACGTGAGTGCAGCGGGTACCCCCCATTCCCCCAAACTGGTCTGCAGTATCAAAAACGTTGGGGACCACTGCTATAGTATACCAAAGAGTTTAAAAAGAAGATCAGTCTATGCTTTATAGCAAAACTTTTGACTTTGTAGATCATGAGAAACTATGGTTTGTTCTGAAAGAAATGGATGTGCCTCTGGACTTGATTGTCCTAAAGTGTAACTCATATTGTGGACAATATACTACCAATAGGACAGAAAATGGAAAGACAGAATCATTTCCTATAGGCAAAAGTGTCACGCAAAGGTGCAGTTTATCTCCCTATAGGCAAAAGTGTCAGACAAAGGTGCAGTTTATCTCTTTATTTGTTCAATCAGTATGCAGAATGTATCATAGATAGCTGGACTAGATTCAGATGAAGGAGTGAAAATTGGTGGAAGAAACATCAATAATTTTAGATATAAAAACAACACAAAATTACTGGCAGAAAGCAGCAAAGACTTAAAGGACTTTTGGTGAAAGGAAAAGAAGAAAGTACCAAAGCAGGACTGCAGCTGAACATTAGGAAGACCAAAATGATGACTACAAAGAAACTACACGATTTATATGCTGACAATGAGGAAATTAAAATAGTGAAAATTTTGTATACCTCAGTTCAATCATCAATCCAAATTGAGACTGTAACCAAGAAATCAGTAGCTGACTGAGTCTCAGAAGGAGAAAATATCATCAAGTTTAAATAAGGAATTAGAAAATATCATCAAGTGTAAATATTTGTCACTGGAAACCAAGCCCAAAATCATCCAGACTAGTCACTGGAAACCAAGACCAAGATCATCCAGACTATTGCATTCCCAATCACTATGTATGGGTGTGAAAGCTGGACAGTCAAGGAAAAAATTGATTTGTTTTAAATATATTGCTGGAGGAGAGCTTTGTGGATACCCTGGACTGCTAGGAAGACAAACAAGAAAGTCCTAGATCAAATCAAGCCTGAATTGTCTCTGGAGGCAAAAATGTAGAAATGAGGCTAGTACCTTGAGCACATCATGAGAAGGCAGAATTCTCTGAAAAGACAATAATGCTGGGAATGGTTGAAGGCAGCAGAAAAGAGGAAGACCAAATATGAGATGGATTGACTCCCTATTAAAAAAGCCATAAGCTTGAGTTTGTAAGAGTTAATCAAGGCTGTTGAGGAAAGGTCATTTATGAGGTCTCCATAAGTCAAGGGCAATTTGACAACATATAACAACAACAAATATGTATTTGCCTCAGTCTCCTGTAAATGTAGCAAGCAATTTGTCTCCCCTTTGGGGAATAGTTTTAATAGTATTATGTCTCTCTTGCCCTCCATTATTCAATATTTCAAGAGGAACCAAAACTCTACTTTAGGCGCTAAAGTAGGCGCACCAGGCAAATGGTTACTTTGACAGCATACCACTATAAAACATTTAATTATTTTAATATTTGATTGGGGAACTACACAAGACACACAAAGCTAGCTCTGTAGTTTTTTGGCTCCATATATTTCATTTCCCTCTAATAGACTGTGCCAGAATTTGTGGAAAAGCCTCAATGTGTGGTAGCCAAAATAGCCTAGGTTTTATTCAAATGAAGTTTACCATTGTTTTTAAAATCAGTTTTGAAAAATAAAAAAAATTTTTAAAGCACAAGACATCAATGTATATTAAAATATACTATTAAGAAGCCTACTGGGGACAATTTAGCCAATAATTACTATAATCAAATGAATAAACATGCTATAGTCTGGAACAATTATAACCTCCATTTATAGGTGATAAATCTACTTAACTATAACTATGATTAGCTTAATATTAGTAATTTTAATGTGATACTTTCCCGCCTTTAGCACCTTAGAAAGGGTTATTGTCTTATGTACCTAAGCCTTAAAGTAGTAATATTTATTAATTATGGGAAAGCAGACGAAAGTTATTGGAAAATATGTAAAAGTAGGACTTTCCACTATTTGCCAAAGCAAAGGTCAATACTGGCAAATTCTGAAAAGAATAATGGAGAGAATGAAAAAAATCTTATGAAAAGATTGTTTAACCTCCGAGCCCAATGTTTAAATTACTCCCCTCCAGCAAAATGGTTACTTTATCCTAACCCAAACAAATTTCATGAAGAACAATTTCAACATTCGTACCTAGAGAATATAGGCATTGCTTTCACTCGTGTAAATGCCTTCCAGGCTTCTAACAGAAAGATGATTAATTCACAGAGCTCGCGACTATTTCCTTGTGGAGAGTGAGATAAGGTCCTGGCTAATGGCTTGTTGAGAGCGTCCATTCGCATCTCATGGTCCACACTTTGGAAAGTGTGGCTCAGTGCCAGCTTGGGGTTTTATTCTAAAACAGCCCTTGATTTCATGTCAGAGAAGCATGTCCTCAGCATTGGTTTGAGAAGAGGAGGAGGGAGATGTGAGGCCAGGGGAAATCACATTCTTCCGAAGGAAAAGTCCAGCTAATTTTCAGGCAATAAAGGTTATATGATCAGGCAGCAATCCTAATCTCCATTTCTTAAAAATCCATCAGGCTTAGTCTCAATTAAAGGGCAAGGGCAAGCAGAGGTAACGGATAGAAAAGCTCGTTGATTTGAGCAAAAGATACTTACACTTCAATTCTTTACTTACCCTGTTTCCCTGAAAATAATACCTAACCTGAAAATAAACCCTAGTATGATTTTTCAGGATGCTCGTACTATAAGCCCTATCCCAAAAACAAGCCCTAGTTAAAATGAAACCCCACCCTCCACCATTGTGCAACAAACAGAAGAAGATGACATGACTGTATTTGAATAAATGTCATCGAAGCTACCAACATGAATTTGACCCAATTCTGGGAGGCGTGTAGATGCCTGTCTCCTGTGGAAGACAGGAGGGCCTGGCGTGCTCTGGTCCATGGGGTCATGAAGAGTCGAACACGACTTAACAACTAAACAACAATATGAAAAAAATAAAACACCCCCTGAAAATAAGCCCTAATGTGTTTTTTCGGGCAAAAATTAATATAAGACCCTGTCTTACTTTTGGGGAAACATGGTACTTAAATAACTGAATTCAATAACTCAGCTAGACTTGCTTCTGAAAAGACAAGCATGGGATTGAACTCTTTAGCATATGAGTGTCTCTCCCACTGAAATCAGTGAAAACTGTAATTTAGGCTAAACTGTACTTGATAAATTGGGGAAAAAACCTACCTATTTTTGTCAATAC